AAGAGGCATTTCAAGGAAGAAGCGGGTGAATATGCCTTTAAAATCAGATGGCGGAGACGAGCATTCCCAATTGTAATAGGAATTTGCCATTTTACTTAATAGATTGGAGCTAATTCGACTTTCAATCCACTCAAGAAGCAACAAGGGATCAGAGATAGACGTTCACAGTCCTCTTAAGCTGTACGGTTGGATCACAAAGTTGACTTGCATAGACTGCTTGACATTTGCTTGCTTGAGTATCAGAACCTAAGCGCTCTGCTCGATGAGGCCACAGTATACGTGCTACCGAAGGCTTATGGCAAACCATGAGAAATATAGACTTGAGCAAAACGTATACGGTGACCTAAACTGAATCAAATCAGTCAATGAGTATGACAAGAAACGGATCTTCGAAGGGTCAAAGAAAATTTGGATAGAAGTAAATGAAGAAGTGTGGAGATTGAAAGTTCCGTCGGAACAGCAATTCGGGCTAATCGAGCTGGAGAAGAGGAAAGCTTGACAAGCTAATGTCGTAACGAACCACTAAGATCGCCAAGAAGGGCACCTCGAATACAAACAAGTTATCGGCTGTAATGGCGAGAGAGTGTGATACGAGGTTAATGGGTAGATAGCTGTGATAGGACAAGAGTGATATCACAACCGCTCGGCACAGTTGGTCATGGGATTGACTTCACTTGCATTTTTGACTAATTGTATCCTGGTGCTAAGACTGGCAAAACTTACTGACGATGTTGGCTGAAAGTCTGGAAATGTACAAAATCCACTGTTCGTTGCTGGCGATTATCGTAACTACTACATTTCACAAGTTCGGACAAGATACGGCTCACTAGGCAACATAACTAAAATAAAAAAATGAGGTCAAACCGCTTGTATACAGCAGTCAGAGGTCTTGATGTATATATTACTATTTAGGTGCTCTCCCCATAATTAGGCAAATTAGATAGTGCTTCAGCACTTAAATAGGAGGGGAAATAGTAAAAAATCATTTGTAAATACCAGTGCTACAATTTATCAACTATTTTGCCTAAAATTGGTATTACTACCACTTTTCACCTTCGCTATTATATGAAAAAGGACTATTTTTTATTAATTTGAAACCAATTATTGCTTTGTTCTGTCGCAATTGCTAACCTCATAAGGTTAATCGAAGGTGTGAAGACCAAGATGGTGTGGCATTTTGTGTGGTCGCAGTCTCCTTTCGTTGTATATAGTAGTTTGACCTTGTTTTCGCAACTTGATCATATTTGTAGGAAGACTTAGAGTAACGCACCTAATCCGGAGTCCATTATACGCATGTACCACGTTAACGGTCCGACTGGAAATTATCATGGACTCCGGACTAAGTACGTTCCTCTAAGTCTTTCTACAAATATAACCAATTTGCGAAAACAACGTCAAACTACTCACGAGGTTGTTTCATGGTTTTGCTCATTTTAAATTGATTTGAGGGAAATTTCGTGTGACGCCTTTTATTCAGATTTGGTTTTAGTAACTTTATTGTGTTTTCTTGGAGACTTCCAAGCTTGCACTTCATGCTATCTTTTTTATACTTTTATCATATCTTTAACCCAGTATCAGTTCTTTGCTAAAAGAGGTCAAACACAGTCTATTTACCAATAGCTACATCATCTCAGCCTTCATCTCTTCTCTCACTGCTCAACAATATTCCCATTCTCATAATGCTACAATTTCTGAATGGGTTATTGTAGACAAATATTATTTATGTCTGATCCAATCTTATGGCTCTACAATTCTCTCCAAGTTTAGCTATTGTTAGCTTCACTTATCCATTCTAAATTAGTTCAAATAAGCGAATTTAAACTATCTTTAAAGGGTTTTCGGGGCAACTGTTTTTCTTCAAGATTTATTTTATTAGGTGCTTATTTTACCGATCCCTTTAAATGGAATTAATCGCAAGCACACTCTCTGTTAGTGTTTCTTTTTTCATTTGCTATTATTCCGAAGAGCTGGCAAATCAGCAGAGGCTTGTGATTCAATTTATAGATACCAAATTTAAGTGTGCGAATGGTGGAATCGACTCCTCTCCAGTCATTTATCTCATCAGTCTGGGCTACTTTGACCAAATTTTAACCAACTTTAAAGATATCAAGACCAAGATGTTTTGGCCTTTGGTATGGTTACAGTCTCCTTTTGATGTATAGAAGTAGGTTGACCTCGTCACAACTTGGTCTTGTTATCAGGGAGACTAAGTAGAATGCACCTAGTCCGAAGTCATCTGCCATAGTTGTTGTCATAATTCCCAGCATCAGACACTACATTGATACGTTCTCAAATGTTTCGCCGGCATCGTAATCGGCCTCATCAGTGAGTTTTGCTATTCTCCACACCAAGCTACGAACTCGTCAAAAGTGACAAGTGAAGTCAATCCCTCAACAAACGTTCTGCCGAAAACGATTACACTATCACTCCTATTTCTAGCCTGGCCCATCTGTAGCTTGGTGTGGAGAATGGCAAAACTCACTGATGCCGACTACAGTGATGTGATACCAATCCCTATGTATCATTAATATCAAATAAAATGTGTCAAATATGAGTCTACTTAATCCGAATTCATATATATATATAGTTCTTGACTATTGATATTTTCTTCCCCAGTCTAACTAACAATTTTTTATACTTTGCATATAACCCAAGGTTCAGCTGCCTTCTACCTATTGCCTATGGCTTGTGACGTTACGCCTTACTTTCATTCTGTCTTGACTGGACTACGTGATGCCTCTGGCACCAGTTGCAATCTCAATAGTAACTGCGCCGGGCCCAGCCCAATGCGTCGTGAGACCGACATTCCTGGCTTTTCGTCACGAGCCAACCATCTGCTCTCCAATCTTCAGCTTTTGGCCGGCGGGCTGACTCGTCTTCGTCTTTTGGTTTCCCGCAGACCTGGGTTCTCGGGGCGTTGGGGCAAACGCTCGGAAGATTTATCAAAAGAACCTTCAGACGCTGAACAATTTCTGTCTGATAGCGCTTTCCGACAGGAAGGTGGATTGCTGGTACAAACAATCGGCGATTTGCTTTCAATCTCCATGCAGTTGTGGCAGCATCTGAACAAGTCGCTTATCGAAGCCGACCGTATTTCGATTGTTGAGTCTAGTCAGCGAAAAAGACATGATGAACTAGTCTGCCAACTACTCGGTGACAGGCTAAAGCATCTTCGAGAACAGATCCAGAAGGAGGTGACTACTAGGACAGACAGGCTCCACATTCATATTACAGCTTTGGCTTTATCTTTGTTGTATAAATCCAAGTTGCGAGAATTTAAGGGTTTTAGAATTATGCTTTGATCTGAACGTTTTATAGAAATCTGCAACCAACTCCTTGGCCAAAAGGCAACTTTTTATTAAATATGTAGAAAAACTGGTTTTCGATGAATCCCTTAATATATTGATATTGGAGTACCTTTTTTTTATTTGGAGAGACGAGTGAAAAATATTGGTAAGTTTGTCTCATCGGAAGTCGAATGGGTCGCGACTGTTGACTTCTGCAAATATCTCCTCGGCTCACAACCACTTGACCCCAAGGAATCCTTGATGAGCCTTCGTCCGTTGTGTGACGGACATTGTCGGAACAGGAAACCATAATTTACAATAATATACCAATCGTGAAGACAATAAAGTTGGTCAGCTGCAATCCTACCTACTTATAGCCTAACTTTGTCTACTTACTGAGACATCTCATGATTTTGTTGGAGATCCTATGCTTTTTCTACATGCTGTTGAAAAGTGTAGGGGCTGCAGGTAAGGTGTGAAGCTGGTGCAATTGTGACATTACAGCTGGATCATCCTCTAAATCACTTTTATCTTGCAGTGTTTCTGAATGTGATTTCGTTCCATTTCACGTGTGTTGCGTTAATGCAATGCTCGTTAGACGTGTGAAGTGTGTAAGTAAAACCAGATTTGAGGCTAGTCAAGCCTTCTCTTGCTCTGCGATACTCTTTGTTCCCCTTCTCTATCTACTCCTATTCAACAGCCACAAGTAGTTTCCGCATAGTTTCCTACATCCATTCCTTTTATTCAGGATGTTGGCTGTTTTGTTGATTTTTCTCGATTCTCTAATCTTCAGCTTACTTGTATAGTCTCCATGACGGACGAAAGTTCAGCAAGGATTCATTGGGGTCGTGTGTCGAGGTCTAATTCGCGAAAATCTACCGTCACAACTTCAAAGCAATCTGCTTCGACTCCTAATTAGACAAACTCACGAATCCCTTCCACTCGCCTCTTCAAACGAACTGAAAGGTATCCTAATCGCTTTTTACTCTTTTCTAACCATAAAATGTCTACTTATTTATTTATTACCAAATTTAGAGCCACCAGTCTCTGATTAAGAATGATCTATTTCTGAGAGATTAGCCTGATTACTCTTAGCATTGCCCTTTACGCTTTTGGGCCGATAATTTGGAGTCATCTTTTGTGTTTAATCATTGTATTTGCCTAATAAGCTCTTAGCCCATTTATCATGGTTGTCACGGTCGCCTAAGAATAAGGCATGCAAATTAATCCTGATTTATATATTCACATACTATCTTTTGCTCCTTATTGACAATTGGATGATTATTCTTACATTCTACTGACTAGGCCTCAATTCCACTGGATTTCTCTTAGAATTGCCTTAAAATAGCCATTTCCATCCATCATGTACTGCAGTTTCGACTTTGTCTGTGTCTTATATGCATGTTAAATCTACATCACACTGTCAGGGGTATCATGGATCACAGGATCGACCTGACTCTCAAAGAAAGCCATGCATCTTTCATATTGCATTTTAATAACTGGATTGTCGATGAGACAAGCATGTCTTTACCATTAAAGTTGACAACGTTATTTGCGCCCGCTTGAGTTAATTTTTGAGACTATCACTAGATCTTAATCAGAACCTAGTCACCCTAGGTCTCCTAAATTTGCCCATTTTTGGAATATTTATCATCACTCCTTCACCACAGGTGATTAAAGTCTCTACTCTATATCTGCAGTTTCGACCATGTAGCACTGTTGGCTGGATTTCTAACTGGGTCGTGAGTATCGTATCTGCATTTATCATTCCGCTTAGCGATCGTCAGTGGTTCGCATGACAGATACGCTATTCACTGCGAGTTAGGCCTCTCCAAACTCACGGTTTATAGTGGGATTGCGGATTACGCAAACATCTCTACTATTAGAATCAATGACAATTCTTGGATAGAAATATGGTCATACTAGGTCGCTCATGGCTGACTAAATGTCATATCGTTTCCCGCTAGGGATACGGATGAGATATTGACAAAATCTAAACTGTAGTGAACCATGGATGAGGGAACCATCTTTTGAGGCAAGCTTAAGTGAACTTTAATACTATCATGAGGCCTACTCACGTAATTGTGACAAAACTCAACTAGAAGTTTTGAAATCTCCTTAAGCCGCATAGGATGACTAAGTTCTTGTTCAAGAATAATTTATAGCCTTGAAACCTATTTATTTCAAAAATATTTTTATGTCTATCCACATTAAACCATTCCAGCTTATGAATCCTTCATGTTTCAAGTCCTTTGGGATTATTTAGATTTCCGAAGAAAAGTTGGGTTTCGAGGAATCTCTTGGTTCATACTAGTTGAGTTTACTTACATTCCGAGTGAAAGCATTCCGTAAAGAGATTCTAAGGTCGATCCCACCAGAAGACGACGGCGGATGCCTCTTAACCAGCAGTCGATTGGCTTCACTGGAACATACATGCTGACGCGGTTTCCGAGATAATCTTCTTCGATTCCGGTAAAGCCATGCTAAGTTTTCATCCGTCGTATTACGAAGCTCATCAGAAAAGAGTATCATCTTTACAACCATATTCGAACTAACGAGTCAAGAAAACTCATCTGCTCATCCTTAAAAAGCTCTATATATGCTTTATATCTGACCTCTTTGATGAGGTATAAAGTCATATGTCAACCTAGGAGCATGTGAGCATTTCTGGTTCTGTATATGTATGTGCCTGTATGTGTTCGCATATGTACGGAACCAGCAGTGATGGCTTAAAGTGATTGGGACAGCAACAGTAATGTCTACTCTCGGTCATCAAGGTTTGATGATCACTATTACCCCTCTTGTATATATTTTTTAACCATCACACCGATTACGCAACGTCGGAGAAACGTCTGGTTATGTTGATAAGCTTTATTGTCTTCTTGCGAGAGAGAAAGAAAGAGAAGGCAAAATGTACAAAGAAGTGACCGTGATTAGAAGTAAGAAAGGAGAAGACTAGATACGAAGAGTAACTGGGTTTCGATGAATCTCCTGAGATTACATTAGTGAGGAGACCTTCATTTCGTATAAAAGTGCATGGATAATAGATTCTTAGGTTGATCTCATCAGAAGACGACGGCTGAATCCCGTTGTACTGCAGCTGTTTGGCTTTACTGCGGCGTTCAGGTTGACACAGTCCACGAACCATCCTCTCTCGTTTCGGGTGAAAATGGGCTGAGCTTTCGTCAATCATATGCTGGACATCCTCAGAGCTATAACTCATTCTTGTAAAGGTCTCACGTTAGCACTCGGTCAAGATGACTATCCGGTCTATCTTACCTCTTATATAGGCTCAATTAAGAAAAAAAATTAAAAGGCCTAGATAGGTATAGAACGGTTTGGCTAATTATCCTTCATATTGGTCCTGCTACCTTTGTTCTAGTGTATGTGTGTGTTTATTGACGTCTATCCGCAATACCGATCCTTAATCAGAGTGATCAAAAAGGCTAATGTCAGGCTCTGGTCATCAAGGCTTTATGACCTTTAAGATTGGTCATTAATAATGAGGGAAGTGTGATGCATAAGATTTCACGATTCTTATTCAAACACTTAAGGAAAGTGGCTAAGTATTGGAGATATTCATTGAAGAATTCATAATAACTTATCAGGTTGTTAGGTCAACAGAGTAATAGAAAGGAGATATTTTGGTGAGTTCTGATGTGGTATCAATTTATACGAACATCCTAGTCTAGAAGGCTATTGAATCACTAGCACTCAGCCTAGATGAGCACCCGGAAATTATTGAGGAAGCAAATCTGAGCAAAGGCTCAATCTTAAGCCCACTTAATCTATTCACGCGTACCGTATACTCCATCCCTAATGCTAACGTTTGTGAACAGGGGCAAGAGAGAACAGACGTTACTTTTGCTGTCCTAATTACTTTTACCCATTCCTGCTGGCTTCGCGCATAATCGAATACATACGGAGACAGGCATACTCACATGCTTCAAGGTTGACATATGACTGGAACTAACTAAATCACTTTATACGTTATCAAAGAGGTCAGATATATAGTATATATATACAGCTTTTTAGGGATGGTTATGATATATTCGCCGTCGTCTCCTGGTGAGATCGACCTTCAAATCTCTTAACGAAGTACTTTCACTCCTAATTGAAGTAAGCTCATTATTAATTTCATTTCCATTTTCCATTTTCTCTTTCCAGGGAATTTTACCGAGATATTTACAACCTCTCCTTAAACGTTTCCTTTGTTTTGATGGAAACCTTAATCTACTGAGACATGGGGGAGACTTTCATAGAAGTAAGATTGCGAACTTAGAGGGTCATTTATAAATAATTTCCGCCCAATTGGGAATGGAATAGAACCGTGTGGAGGGTATGAATGTTGAACCATACGAGTCTGAAGTTATGATAGTGAAGGGAGATAAGCGAGGATATGGGAAAGATGAGTGTAACTTGATAGTTCATTAATACGTTGGCCACGGAATAGGCTTTGTTTGTCTCTAGGGCTTTATAGATGAAGCTAAAGAGTAGCAAATTTCACTGACGATCCGGACAAGATTCTAGAAATCTATAATTTCTACACTTCACCATCGGGACTTATCATGTATACTCTGGTAGAAGATTACTGATAATCTCAGTTAATTTAAGTCGCCCTGACAAGGCGACTAAGTTATGAGAACAAGGTCAAACCTTTATGCAGCGAAAGGGTCTGCGGCCAAAGTAGAGGTAAGTCACTATCATTGTACTTTTTGATTCGTTCGTAATTTTAAGTAATATATTTTATAGAAGTTGTTTGACCTTGTTTACGCAAATTGGTGATATTGTCAGGAAGCTGTAGAGGAAAGCACCTAGTTCGGAGTCCATATTATGCACGATAATTTCCAGAACATGAACGTGGATTTAGCACATTCCTAGACCTTTCACCGGCATTGTCAGTGAGCCTTGCCATTCTTAGAACTCGTCAAAGTGACAAGTAAATTCGGTACTTTGACCAATTGTGTGTTAAACAGTTATGGTATCTCTCTCCTGGCCTATTAACCTATCCTATA